TTCTCAAGGATAATTATGAATGCGAAATAAATGCTGGCTCAGCCAAGCATGTCCCCACTTTGTGAAAGAATAAATAAAATCTCTTAGTAAGATTCTAACAGGTGTATAAAATGCTATTTAATTGCAAGTTTATTAAGCTCTCAATTGCCAGGGCGAGCCCATTCTCACTAGGCTTGCCATCTACTACCGGTAAATTAGAGATGGGATGCGTGACATGAAAGTCAATGCTGATGCCCTATTTCAAACTGCCTCATCCGTTATGGGCCCCAAACGTCCAGGCCAATGTCTCTGTAATGGCAATCAAATTTAACCTATTTAAATTTACTTACGCCAATAATGCAGCTGAATTATAATGAATGTCTTGTGCACTCAAACAAGAAAGCCATTTTAAACTACTACTCTTTTCATGGACGTTACATCTGAAGCATTATTATTATTCCCTGTCCTATTATGCTTGCCATTACCCAACTCCTCCATTAATTCAACTACAGAGTATTCATATATTGTTTAACATAATTGAGAAAATTCTAACTTTCCTAGGAGACATCGCATCCAGAGATATATATCTAACGCATTGAAAAGAAAATAGCTTGCATTTTTTACGGCGCATGACGCAACCTCAGGACAACCCAAAGCAACAACTTTTCAAGTATTGTCACTGTTGTTTGAAAGAAATGCAGCCACCAATTTTGAAGTAGCAATCACCTGTAAGCAGCAATTACAAAAATGTTTTAATGAGTTGGTTGAAAGATAAACATTGGCCAGAGGAATAGACAATCTTTTTCTATATTTTTTAAACAGTACAATGTAAACTTTTACATTCATTCCAGCACACACAAGGTCTTAATTTATTTTCTCAATGAAACACACAAAAAAACCCAAGCATAAACTCACACCTATTGAAAAGGAACATCAAAGTTTCGAAATTATTCTATCCAATATTAACCATTTCAAACAATGTAACTGATATGGTTGAAAAAAGATGTTTTCAGTTACAATATCCTCAGAATATCAGATCTTCTTATTGGACCTACCAGCCTTTAAATATGATTTAAGAGAGTCCAGTCGCTCAAGTCTGCCAACAGAAACAAGACATTCACAGTTAGGTGTCGACAATAACAAAAAATAAGAAGTGCGGGTTACTCCCAAATAAGCAACACTTCATATAATTTAGATATACATGGTTCCAATCAGCAATGTTAAAATTTGTGCAGCAAAGGGCTAAATCTGCATATCACAACTTATAAATGACTTTCATATGATTAAATTGCTTACAAATCAAACAATTTTGATTTGCACAATATTGAATAATAAGTCACATTTTAAAAATATATCCCATCAGTATTGCTTTCAAATTCCAATTTACAAAGCCTCAACTGTACTTCCTGTTTATTGTTTATAATTAGGATAATTTTCTCAGGTTCTGAGATCTCTCTTCCCTTCACCAATGATTCATGGGCGTCTCTCCTGCTTTCTTTCAACGATCCTAGCTGCCTAAATCTGTCATTACATTCTCTTTGGAATGTTGGGGTCCTTCTCACCAGTGCTGCCAGACCCTGGGACCACAGCCCTTAAAATATTGCTAGCCAAAAAATTATCATCATGCAACAACCAAGGTCACCTTTTGCAAGATTCTCTTGAAGGCACTAGTATTCCTGATAATATAGCATAAATCTGTTCTTAGAAAACCCCTCTTAGCCACGCTTTGGGAGATCTGTTAGTAAGCTGTAAATATTTTATTCACAATTAAGTATATTCAGCAAAATGGTACTAATAAACATACTGAAGTTATAATGACTTATTAAATACTATAACACTGATTCAGATCAAATACATAAACAATTATTTAATTCCTGTGGTATTGTAGATAGTATTAAGAAGATGCAGAAGAATGCTAATTTGAAAACTGAAGTTAGCAGAAGAATGATTATAGGAAAACAGGAGGTGCTTGAGCTCTCATGACAAAGGAAACGTAAGCAATGTCAAGAGTTACAGAGTCATAGATATGTATAGCACAGAAACAGACCCTTCTGCCCAACTCATGCAGGCCAACGAGATATCCTACATAAATCTAGTCTCATTTGCCAGCATTTGGCCCATATCCCTCTAAACCCTTCATAATCATATACCCATCCTGATGCCTTTTAAATGTTGTAACTGTACCAAGCTCCGCCACTTCCTCTGGCAGCTAAAGCTCAAACCCTTCAAGCCTGGCAACATCCTCGTAAATCTTTTCTAAACTCTTCCAAGTTTCACAACATCCTTCCTAAAGCAGGGAGACCAGAATTGCATGCAGTATTCCAAAAGTGGCCTAATCAATGTCCTGTACAGTTGCAACATGACCTCCAAATTCCTGTACTCAACGCACTGACTAAAAAAGGCAAGCATACCAAATGCCTTGTTCACTATCCTATCTACCCGTGACTCCACTTTCAAGGGATTATGAACCTGCACTCTAAGGTCTCTTTGTTCAGCAACACTCCCCAGGACCAAGCGGGACCAACAACAAGGGCTACCTGAACGGAGAACAACTAGACTCACTGCAGTGATGAAAGGAAACAAAACTAGGGTTGTTTAAAATAAAACATTCCTGAGGTTACTTGTGAGGTTAAAAACAATGCACAAAGGCATATATTTTTCTGATAAGCAGAGTTTTAGTGACTGTTTTCAAATAATAAAGACAAATTCAAAGGTAAAGGACAGAATATGGAAAAAGTTTTAAAAATTTTAAAGATCAAATATAATTGGAAAGACTACAAGGAAATCTTGCTTCTAAAAGAATCAAAGCAGCTGAGGTTATTTAAAACAAAACTGTAGAGAGAAGCATCCTAATCTTTGCTTGGGTGTGCTACAGGCATTTGAGAGTTTGAGTGATTTTGTTAATAAGGTAAGGTGGGTGAAATAACTGCACAGAGAGAGATGCTGGGTCACGTCACCAAATCCCCCTTTATTTACTAGCGCACAGTACACCGGCTGTGGCCAGCTAGCTTGGAGTCAGTCCTCAACTGAGGTGATTCTAATCTCCTGGTTATATAGGTCGGCCAAGGCTTTCCTGATTGGCCCACGTTAACAAACTCAATCAAGAACCTTGTGGTCAACAAGGTCCATCTGGTCCCAATCACTACAGTAGTAGGTTGAAAGCACTGGAGACTTGAAGTAACAGAAAACTGCTGATATCACATATGGCAGTCGAGAGTCTGATAACAAGGTGCAATATTGAGATTATTTGCCTGCTTCTTACAAGGATGACCTTGGAAATAATGGGCAAGAATTTCAGCTATGGATCAGCTGGTAGTATACTTTCTTCTCAGTCATACGTTCTGAGTTCCAGTTCCACTCCAAGGCTTGAGAACAAAAATCCAAGGTTGATACTCCATCTTGTGCTACAAGAGTGCTGTACTGTCAAAGGTGCCATCTTAGGCGATATTATGATTTAATGGCATTATGGCCTGCTGGTTGTTAAATATGCCGTGGAATTATTTTAAAGCAAAGAAGGGAATTAACCCGTATCCCAGTCAAAATTTATCACTCAATTGACATTGCAAGAAAAATTTAATCCTGTCATTATCACATCACCATTTGTGGGAGTTTATTCTGTTTCCTATATTATAGCACTTTGGCACTTTATTGGCTACGAAGCATTTTGCAATTTCTGGTATTTACAAAAAGTGCATGCAAGATTTTTTTAAAAAGTTGTTACCATCAACAAGGCCCAGAAACATTCGCACAATGCCAGAATACATTTGAAGGATGAATGTCTGACTCAATGATCACAGGTTTTGGTAGAACCATGTATTGTTTTTTGTTGATTGGCCTCAATTATTATCAATAAGAACTTAAATAGTGAGATCAACAGTGGAGATTTATCAATCTTGCTTAGCCCTAATCGATGTATGAATCACTGGGAACCAGTACGGAATCATGTAGAACCTTTACTTTTCAAAGATGCATGGTTTCTCAAAAGCGAAGAATATTGAATCCTTTAACAACAGTGCCTTGAAGTGGATCAGCGTTAGAGCTAAGTGCAAAGAAAATGCTCTGTTAGTTATGAATACCACAAATGCAGTCTATAAATAAATTCCCAGATACTGCAGCTACTTGGCAGCTAAAAACAAGAAACATCTGGATTTTGCAGCTAAGCAAATGGCACTTAATGTTCATTTCACTTGTTTCCCATAGACATTTTGTTACTTTTTAAATGGCAACTAATGTTGATATAGTAGATGACTCTGATATAACAGATGCCTCCTACACAGGAGTACTTATCTGAATAGAGTACTTAATTTTATTTTCCTCAGTTGTTTGGAGGGGTTAGTGAGGGTCAAATTGGAAATTCAAAATACCGCGCATCATTGTCATGTCTTACTACATCCAGGGGACTGCCTGGAAAGGATAGGGAATCAAGATTTTTAGAAAACATATTAAGCATTGAGGGTGCACAGGCCCTGCACTATCAGGAGCCCGATAATGCACTGGAGGTGACTACATCGCAGGAGATTACAGAGATTAAAGGCTGCCATCCACACTGCTATTGTGGAACTACAAGGCTTAAAACAGGAATAGCCTAAGGTAAAATTATTCATTAGACTCCCCTTCAGCACTGATGAACTGAATAGTTTTTTTTAAATGAATCCAACTGAAACATTTAAATTGCATTCCATTTTGTGGTACTCTCACATTTTTAATCTGCTTCAGAATTATCCACCTTCTGCAGTGGGGCTATCAGCCAGCCACTCTGAAAGCCTTCCTGAAGGCAATGAAGAGGTAATCTGTTGATTGACCACCATTTATAACATTGTGCATAGCACCATTTGTCATGTGGGGCATTAGGGCATGAAGATGTACTGAATGCCAAAACCTTTCAAGAGCAGAAAATTCTGGCCAATGTTTCACTTGAAATAATTAGACTGTCAAAAACCTATGCAGAAAACTAGGAAAGGTGAGTTAGAATATTTAATTCAATGTAAAATTATGTACATAAAGAAAAATGGGATGAACAAACAGAATTAACAGACAAATGGGAAATGTAAAATAAAATAAAATCACCAACAATAATCAAAATTTGACAAAAAGATTCCACACACGTAGAAGTGAATTTTCAGTGCCAACACGTCATTTAGTAGAAATTAGGATTTAACACATTAACAAACTGACATTTAAATGAGATAACAAGTTGTAGAGCTGGATGAACACAGCAGGCCAAGCAGCATCAGAGGAGCAGGAAAGCTGACGTTTCGGGCCTAGACCCTGGACAGGGTTTCACTTTTGCTGCTCTGTCTACTGGGTATGTACTGCAAATTCACATCCTTTATGTGCCTGAATGCCGAATCTATTAGGGAGATAACATTATAACAAAGTTAAAAAAGTGGGATAAAAAGCACAATATGTTCTTGATTCCTGGCATGCCTGAACCTGCCTTATTTGAATACACAAGCTGAACAGAGTTACAAAGTCAGGCCACTTATGGGATGAATAACCGACGAAAGAGGAGACCATTGCAAGATTAGATAATGTCTCACAACTAACAATATAAAATTTGCAAGTCGAGATCATGTCTTAACAAAAAGCTGGATAGTGATTGCCACATCTGAGATGAATGACTAGCAGTCTGCAGTTGATTCAAGGCACTTTTCAAACCTAAGGGAATGGTATAAAAGGACTGGTGTTTCAATGGATCAAGAGCGATAACTACAGACCAACATTTGAGACAAAAGGACCCCTCGAGAAGAATTCTTACACTGAAGTGGCCTGGCCAGCTGTCTTAGTGCAGGTAACATCAAGATTTCTCCTGAGTGTTTTAATTAGAGATTATTTTGACTGCTTAGACTTCTACACTATAACAATAATCCACCTCTGTATCTTTAGTATTTAAGATTGTGTAATATAGTTAACTTAGCTGTATGCTTTTGTATCCTTGTGTAGTTAGTGCTTACACTGATCAGCAATAAAGTTACAATTTTAGACTAAATTCAACTCGCGTCTCTGACTCGTTTATCTGATCATGCTCATTGTTCATAAAGCAAGGGCTTTTATGGCAACAATGTGTGGATGATAAAAGCTGTTATCCTGTGTACTCCATTTTAACTGTAAATGTCGGTAACCCTACATTCTCTGCTGCTGCAAAATCAAGGGCTATGTTATGCTTCTTATTGCAAGAAGTATTCCTGCCTACCATAACAAATCTGTACCTATGGCAAAAGGATACAATTAGAACTGAAATACTACCAGATTACAGTCCCTGTGAAGTTACCTGGTTTCTTGATCATCTGTGTTTGTAATGGATGGAACAAGGCGAATTAAACATCTGTTTAGGGTAAAAGGAAATCAAGTGAGAAAGTTGAAAATACATGAGAATTTCTGTAAATATCTGAAGTATAAGGTGTACAATTGGGAAAATGGTAGTAACAGTGGTAATGTCAATAGACCAGAACCCAAGGCTTGTGTTCTGGGGACACGAGTCTGAATCCCACCATGGCAGATGGTAAAATCTGACGTTAATAAAAAGCTAGCCAAATGGCAGCCGTAACGACCACTGCTAATTGTTATAAAAATCCATTTGGCTCACTAATGTCTTTCAGGAAAGGAAACCTGCCATCTTTATGTGGTCTACCCTACATGTGACTCCAGACTCTCAGCAATGTAGCTGACTCTTAACTGCCTTTTGGAAAATTGGAGATGGACAACAGATGCTCACCTAGTCAATGATGCCATCAACCCAAAAAAATTTTTTTTTAATTCTTCACATTTTTAAAAGCCTGTCATTCCTATAAGCATGACATTCAAAAATTTTAATATTAGGATCCCACTGAAATATTACAGAAGTATATTCCTGTTGTTCTGGTAAAAATAGGGTTGAAAAAAGGCAAATTTTCTTGACATATGCTTACGCAGGATATCGTATGGAATTTCTTTTTGCAATGAGCCTTGACATCTGTTTCTGAATCAAACACTTCTGCAAACAGGATCAGGTTACAGGTGAGCTCCCTGCCTATTTCTTTTCTATTGGAATTACGGTCTGTAAAAATATGGTAAATTTTCTATGCCTAAGATAAACATTTTATAAATAACCTAATATGTAAAGGTTAGGTCACTATAGTCCTATTGGACCACAGAGCTGCTCTCTTATCAGAAGAAGATAACTGGTGGTGGTTTAACCTGAAGGTCACCAATGCGAAGGAAGAGGTTGAGAAGGAGAACTCTTTGTGGTAACCTCAGTCAGTACAGGAATTGAACCCACACTGTTGCTGTTAACCTGCAACATAAACCAACCATCCAGGCAACTGACTTAATTGACCATATACATAAACTATATCTTGACCTACGGAACACAAGAATGAGGTCTGGTTATAATTAGACTTTTGGAGACACGACACTTGGAGTTGTATGTGCAGTTTTGGTCTCCACATCAAAGGAAATATATACTTGAATTGGAGGCGATTTAACTAAGTTGTTTCCTGGGATGTGACAGCTGTGGTATGATAACAGTAAATTTGTAATTTAGACTCATATTCTGTGAATAATAAACATATAATAATTTGAATGGGCTTAAAAGAGTAGACAATGAAAAGCTGTTTCACCTGGCTGGAGAATCTAGATGGAGAGGGAGCAGGTGTTGGAAGATATTCGAGGTCAAGTCATGGAGGAAGGGCTGTGGGTATCATGCTTGGAGAGGGTAGTCTGGTCCAACAGGATCCAGTTGGGCTGCAGCAGAGGGAAGGATGTTGGTGGGTGTGGCAACCACTCATTAACACCCCAGTCTGCTAGAATTACATTCATGGATATATTACCATTAAGCAAAAATAGGAAGTACATGCTCATAAACCCGGCTACACATACGAGTGGACCTCTTGTGATAGACATCAGCTGAGAGTGCTCTGAGCAGAGGCAGAAACAGAAGCAGTCCTTGAATGTCTCTACATTAAAAATGAGTTGATGAGGAAATGGAGACTACCTCACAGAACTCAAAGCAGGAGTGGGCAGTGATCAACTTGTAATGGTACCACTCATATTATTAGGGAATATTGGTGATAGCTCTCAAAATTCAAATGGCATTTGAGAAATCAAGCCTGCAACAGCCAGCATTTTTACTGGGCACAGCTCCATAAGGATATAATAAGGTTTTGCAGAAATTGCCACCTTATAAGACGTACAGCTATTCAGCCCAGAGTCCACTCTGCCATTCAATAAGATCATGGTTGATCAGATAATCCTTAACTCCACCCTCTTGCCTATTTCCCATAATCTTGATTCCCTTAGTGGTTACAAATGTGTCTATCTGAGCCTTGAATACACTTCATGATCCAACCTTGATAGTGCTCTGTGATAAAGAATTCCATCGATTCACTAACCTCAGAGAAAAATTCTTCCTCATCTCTGTTTCAGATGGGCGCCCCTTCTTTTGAGATTGTGTCCTCTAGTCCTGGACTCCCTTGCTGGTTACTGGGGAACTATTGCACAAACTATTTGTGCTCTGTTCGAAACTTCTGACAAAACAAAAGGGGTTACCGATATATCCTTACCATCATGGATGTGGCTACTCATTTCTCAGAGGCTGATGTCCTAAGAACCAAATCAGCCAAAATAGTGGTGAGGGATTTGACTCAATTCTTCACCAAGTATGATCAGCCTGCAGTGATCCAATCGAATCAGGGTTCAAATTTCATCTCCAAAATATTCCAAGCAGGAATAAACTTGGGTATAACCCAGCTGAAATCTATGGCACCAAGTCTGAGGGTGACTGAAACCAATCTGGGAGAGGTTTTTAGAGGGAAAGGCAAGGGGACTCTTGTGGCACAATGATAGTGTCCCTACCTCTGACTGAGGAGGCCTGGGTTCAATTCCCACCTATTCCAGAGATGTTTAACAACCCTGAATAGGTTGATTAAAAATAGCTGGAAGAGAAGGCAGCAGTCTCCATATTAGACTAGACTACATGGGAGAATTTGGGCACCAAGTTGAGAACGCTTGGGAAATCTCCCAGATAAGGATGAAAAAGCAAGCATGCCCTGGTCAGAATCTAAGAGACTACATCAACATTCCTATGAAAATCAAGTGAACCCCCAAAAGCCTGGTTTAGTGGCGCACAAGAGTAGAAACTCAGAGAAATAAATTATCTGATTGAGACTCCAGATCAAGAGAAAAAAGCAAAAGCTGGGTTAGGTCAAGCTGATTAAATAATGTTACCATAGAGGAAAGGGACAAGTGGGTAATGTTTTATCTCATTGTCACCAAACTAGAGGATGAGGAAGCAGCAGAGATGAACTGGAGGGACATATAGGTGACGCCAACATTTAACATCTATTATCCAGCTAACTAATACAGAAATAGTAGCAAACTTAGACATCTTATTTGCCCACCAGCATGCAGAACAGCATGCAGGCTTAACAATGCTGCGCACTGCATTTAAGGGTTTATGCAGAGACAAGCGAGGCTGCTAGATCTATGATGTGCATGTGGGAGGGACCCATCCCATGTGGCAACATGCCCATTCACTAGGCCCCGAAAGGCTGGCATAGGTTGAAAAGAACATTAACCACATGATACAGCAGCAATTAATCAAGCCAGCAGCAGTAGCTGGAACTCACCAGTTGTGCTTGTGCTAAAGCCGGACAGGTCCACAATGTTCTACACGGGCTACTGAAAAGTTATTGCAGTCATCAGTGCCCGATACACTGGCTAAAGATTACGCTGATAACTTAGTGAGGCAACCTACATTGCAAAGATAGATTTACTCCAGTGGCAGTCTCACATGTCTGCCTCACATGGTGGAAGAAACATGAACCTGGACAGGTCAGATCAGTGTCCAGTCATGCCATTTGGAAATGTACCACCTGATAAAGCAAACAGTGGCAATCTCATCTCATTGTGAAGTGTATCCAGACCGACTGAAAAAGCAAGGATTGGAAATATCAAGCCAGTGCATGTAGCTACAAACTTCAACTAAACATTTGAAGTAGCCATCAATGCAAGTGGCATCACGAAGTTGACTCCAAAAACTGACACAAACTGGATGCTTGCTAAACAAGCTTCAAAAATGCTACTCCACAGTACAGAAGGAAACCTTAATGTTATTACCGAATCTCTCAAATATATTGAGCTATTTCTCTGAGCTGTGTACGGAGGGGCCATTGCTTATACTGACAAACCATTAACTTTAGTGAAAAGCTTTTAAGACTCAGAACATCAGGTTATTCCATTGGGGCTTCTTCCACCTAGAAGTCATTGCCAGGAAATAAAGTGTGATTGCAGATGACATATCCCGAATTTAGAAAGACCCTGTTAGAACTGAAGAAATATAACTGACTGAGAATAGAACAATTGATGGGTATGTTTGTTATTTGATGTAAAAGGAGAAAACTAACTTAAAAATTCTGCAATCATACTCTTTTCATTCATTATGTGGGGCAAGTGTCATGGCGTTGGATGATCATCTGTGGACATACTGAATTTAAAAAAATGTGGTAACTAAATGAGGACATACAGCTAAAAAAAAGACTGAAAATGAAAATTCTGAGCAATGCAATTCAATGACTATCTGGACAAGCCTGTGTGGGTTATTCTCTGACTTTAGGGAACCTTCGTAAGTCACACCCGACAGGTATCAAGGAAGCTTCAAACAGTAGGACTTCAGAGGGAAAAATAAACTACAAACTGAACTTTAAGCTTGAGTGCAGCCATTAAACAACTTAGCATAGCAAGTAAAAAGGCAAATGTACTTTGTCGCGCTGAATTCCTCATGTGAAGGCTCCAACATCCCATTGTCCATTCTTCATGAAACTCAGAGACTGATCAGTTTATCTGACTTAACTTTTATATTCCTTTGGATTCACTTATCATTTATAATCCACTTGTATTTCTGTCACATTATCATTTAGAGTAGTCATAGAGTCACACAGCATGGAAGCAGGTCCATTGGTCTAACCAGTCCATGCCATCCATAAGCTCAAACTAAACAAGTCCCATCTGCTTGCGCTTCATCCACATCCTTCAAAATTTTTTTTATTTATGTACTTAATTAAATGTCTTTTAGAAGTTGTAACTATACCTACATCACCACTTCCTTTGGAAGTTCATTTCAAACACAAACCACTCATATGTGTAAAAAAAACTGTCCATCGTGTCTATTTTCAAACCTTTCTACTCTCACCTCAGAAAATGACCCCTAGTCTTGAAATCCCCACTTTTTCTTACATTTAGTAACTAATAAAACTACTCCTTTTAACTTTTAAAAGCCTGGTTAAAGAGGCTAATTTGTAAAATGTAAATTTGTTTGGTCTGGGAGAAATGTATCCAACAGAGGGGATCCTTTTTCATTCATATTGTGACCTAATGAAGGCACAAGTAAATAAAGAAGGGAAGCCAGGTTAACCCTCCACACTTGGGAGCAGATGAATTTGGGAAATCCCATTTGGAACCATTACAAATTGGGAACTTAGCCCTGGTTGCAACACTGGATACAAATGAGAGGGCCAAAACATTTCAAGTAGTTGGAATGACCAACTTTGCCAACTTGCATCCTAAGGTAGTTTTTAACTTGTTTACACTGAGCACTCAGAAGGTAGTCAAGTCACAAGCTGAGGAAAAACTCCTTCAGGCAGTGACTTAGACTCTAACTATGTAACCACAAGAAAGTGTTGTAGAAGTAATATGTCTTAGAATTATCAATGTAAGCCATAAGATCTTTCTGGCATAATCAACAACAGTTCTATACCTGAGAGCTGTTAACAATTGACTACAGTCTTGGGAGTATTCACATAAATACTCAAATGCCTTTCTGGCAGCATCTTCCTGGTCATTCTGAAAAAACATAGACATGTAAGATTTCAAGGGTTAGATCATCAATCATATTTTAAATTTGGAACATCATATTACACTTTTGGATATTTGCAAAGAAACACCATTTTACTAAAATGTCCTGTTACGATCTATCCTTATTTTCGACTGCCACCAATCTGTTAAAATCAGAGTCCCAACAACAAAGCGGGCAAGGACAACAGTGCCAGTGGCTGTCAAGCTCATCATAGTCCTCACTTTCTACAGTAGTGGATCCTTTAGACTGAAGTGTAACATTGCCAACATATTTTAGTTTGGCATCCACTATTGCATTCAGACAGCCACTAAGACCATGTACAGCATGAAAAAGAACTTCACTGATTTCTTTCCAAGTAGAGTCATTTCTTATAATGGATTTCTTATAATGCAGGGAGCTGATGAGACTGCAAATGTGGCTCTGCGTGTGCATATCAATAGAAACAACTGTCAGAAGTGCAAAAGTCCTACTCGTCAAAAGTGCAGATGGTGTGAAACCATGTTCAGGGCATCCTGTTGATCAAATTCCTGCTAGTCTAACAGCAATCATAATGGCATCATTTGATATCCAGAGTGTGCTGATAGGCCATTTAGTCTATCAAGTCCACACCAATCCTCCAATGAGCATCCCACCTAGACCCAATCCCTGTAACCTTGCATTTGCAATGGCTAATACATCCAGCTTGCACATGCTTGGAGACTATGGGCAATTTAGCATGGCCAATCCACCACAATAGTTTCATCTTGTGTCAGTCAACAATCTCAGAGCCACCATAATGAACAGGACCATGACTGCTCGAACGATAAAAATTTCTCACAATGCATGTCGTTGATGAATTCCAATAGCCACCTCACCACTAGTGGAGATCATGTTTCCACAATGACACCCATGCAACAACCTGGAATGCTGCGCAGCAGAACAATGATCTCTACGAAATTCAATTGCCATAAATGGCTTGTTTATCTAAGTGTATGGTCTCTTTAAATTATTTTAGGCAGCTGTGTTGATGTGTTATTTCTCACAGGAGTAAATTAAGGGCATAGCCATACCATCATCATTTTGTTGTTAATCCCAGAAAGGAAAAAAAGGACAGGGAGAAAGTGTGGAGACATCTAGTAAGCCACTGCTCTGGACTGGCTGCATATGAGCATCTCAGATTCCAATTCGTCAGAAAGAATTCCCCAGATTACCGTTACCTTACCTTTCCATCCTTCTGTTACAGATCAGTGTTCTCTAAAAAATCCCAAAATAAAAGAAACCTCAAAACAACAGAATAGGAGTACTTATCATGGAGAACAGAGAAATGGTGTTGAAACTAAACAATAACTTTGTAATTGCCTTCTCAAAATAAAGTGCGTAAAATTTTCCCGAAATACCAAGTGACCAAGGGAATTGTAAAACCGAGGCACTAAAAGAAATTAGTAAAAAGGTAGTTCTTGAGAAGTTAACTGAACTGAAGAATGGTATATACTCTTGACTAGATGAGCTTCATCTCAGAAAGTTAAAGGAGTTTGGAATCATAGTGTCATACAATACAGCACAGGCCCTTTGGCCTATTACGTCTGGGCTAACAAAAAATATATACTAATTACATTAGTCCCATTTACCCAGACTAGGCCTTGAATGTTACGATACTTCAAGTGTTCATCCAAATACTTTGAAAAGGTTGAGAGGTCTCCCACCACAACTGACATTACAGGCGGTGCATTCCAGACCCCACCACCCTCAGGGTGAAAAGGATTTTCCTCAAGATCCCCTCTAAGCATCCTGCCTTTCATTTTAAAATTATGTCCACATTATGGACACTTCAACGAAAGGGAAAAACTGCTTTCTGCTCAGCCTGTTTATACCCTCAAAATCTCATGCACCTCCTCAGGTCCTCCTCATTTTTGCGGCTCCATAAAAATCAGCCCCCCTTATCCGGCCTTGTTTCACAGCTGAAATGCTCACTCTCAAGGCAACATCCTGTTTAATCTCCTTTTCACCGTTTCAGCACAGTCACATCCTTCTAGCAGTGTGGCTGCCAGAAATACTCCAGCTGTGACCTAACCAAAGTTTTGTACAGCTGCAACATGACCTTCCTGTTCTTATAATATATGCCATAACTGATAAAGTCGAGCATCAGGTATGCCTTCTTAACTATATTATTAACCTGTCCTGCTAGCTTTAGGATCTGTGGACAAGCATACCAAGATCCCTTTGTTCCTCTGAGCTTCCTAGTGTCTAGTCATTCATCGAGTACTCCCTTGTCTAGTTATCTCTTCCAAAGTGCTCATTTAACTCTCATTTATCAGAGTTAATTACCATCTGCAACTGACCTGCCTCTCTGACCAATCTGTTTATATCCGCCTGTAACCTAACACCTTCCTCCTCACTGCCAGCTTTAGTGTCAACTGCAAACTTGGATCTCATCCCCCTGCAATAATTTTATCTATACCGTTTATGAATACCACAAACAATAAGGGACCCAGCTGTGGCACTCCATCGTATACCAGGCTCCAGTCACACAAACCACCTTCTATCACCACTCTGTTTCCGGTCGCTAAACCAATTTTGGACTCATCTTGCCAAGTTACCCTTGTCCATGCTGACTATTCCTTATCAAACCTTGCCTCTCTAAATGGAGATTAATTTTCTTCCTCACTATTTTCCCCAATAGTTTCACCACTGATATTGGACTCATTGACCTATCGTTCCCTATTTTATCTTTATCACCCTTCTTGTAAAATGGAACCACGTTCGCCATTCTCCAGTTCTCTGGGATTTCCCATGTGGCCCGATACAATTTAAAAATTGGGTCAGGGCCTCTGTAATTTCTTCCCTCATCTCCCACAGCAGCCAGTGGTACAACTCATTCAGACCTAGGGATTACTCCACTTTTAAATCCACCAAAACTTCCAAAACTCCTCGCTTGATATATCAATGTGCTCAAGAACTTCACAGTCCATAACCTCAAATTCTGTATTTGCATCCTCCTTTACCCAAGTGGGCTTCCTCCGGGTGCTCCGGTTTCCTCTCACAATCCAAAGATGTGCAGATTAGGTAAATTGGCCATGCTAAATTGCCCATAGTGTCCAGGGATATGCAGGCTAGGTGGATTAGCCATGGGAAACGCAGGGTTACAGCGATAGGGTAGGGGGAGTGGGTCTTGGTCGGATGCTCTTCAGAAGGGACAGTGTGAACTTAATGGGATGAATGGCTTGCTTCCACATTGTGCAGTTTCTATGAACTTGATCATTGGCGTGAGGTCAGTGAACTTTTGCCTGCCCTGGATCCAAGTTTACTGGGTCAGACTCATGGAATTGGACCTCCATGGATATCTTCATCCACAGTCCTTTCAACATATCTTCGGATGGCCTGCTCCAAAAAAAGGCCTTGCTCATCTTTTCTACTTCCTGCTGTCCTCAGTGCCTTAGGACTTTCTCTCAACCCCACTTCTCTATTTTATCAGATTTTTCCCATCAGAAAGTCTTTCACAGTGAATTCCAGCATCTGCATTAGGCATAATGCACTTCCCCTTTAAAACGTATTGGCTGATTTTAAGAATGACAAACCAGTTATCATTGGTGCCAGCTTTTAATGAACTTGGGCCCTCGGCTGAGCGTGCATCCAAACAGCAGTGCGTTTTCTTTAGGGCTGCACACTAAAATTATGGAAATGACAGCAGGCAACACAAACTTTGTGCACTGTCTATAATATATCCATCAAGCATGTGCTAATTGTGCACTACAGTCTCAGCAACTATCACACCAAATTTACCAAATTTTCTTCTCTAGTGAATTCAATTTCTAAGTTCTGATATTGACCAATTCAATTACTTCATTACCTCCAAAGCAATATGTGCAGCAAGACTCAGAAAATCAGTCACTGAGATTCTATTGTTTAGCATGTTATCTTCACACTCCATAGATTTTTCTGCCAGCCTTCCTATGACTTTAATTGCCTCCACAGCTAAAAAAAAGAAAATCACCAGAAATAAATCTTGCCAGTCACATTTTGTAAATTGAGTATTGAATTAATCCATCACATTGAATTAATACCATTTGTTTAATTTGGGATGTAAATTTGCCATTTGAAAACAACTAATAAGGTACAGGATTGTTATCAGGAAAGATGTAATAAAATGATTTTTAATCAATTTCATTTTTGAATTATTATATGGTATTTTCCTTTTAAATGCAGGAAAACAATAGGTAGTGATATATCAGAATTCATGTCTATTAACAACTTTTAACATAACTCCATAAATCATTTCTATTAATCTATTAACCCATTAATTCGTGGTTATACTAACTGCAGATTTCCGTGTACTAGCCAGCCCCCCATTCAAACAAATTCAGGGGCTCGCTACCGTATCAGGTTACAACCACTTCAATTCGCAGTTACACTCCACTTGAAAGTGCAGTCATCCATAACACGCTATGTAAACAGCCCTATTTAACAAGACTGACATTCCATTCAATGGTGCAGTCAGGCGTAATGGCTAACAAAACTGCACAGACACTACAGGATGAAACTTTTTTGCACCCTCACACCAAAAATAGTGTTGTTTGATATTAAAATCCAACTGTGAATAGGTGCTATTACCAAGCCGTTTATCGTCTCCCTCCAGCTAGAGTAGCTCCAAGTATCAGTCAAAGATGATTGGATTAGCCCTCTTCCTTTAAAGTAAAATGTTACTTCCCTGCAGACTTTTCCTGTATGTTATTTAACCAGGTACTAGTCCCAGTTTTTTATTCCACATGTATATAAAACTTTACCCCGCTAATAAAACTAACAAACACTATGCAGTGTATGTAAGCAACCTTTAACGTACTAACAAAACTAACAGCGCTATGTCTAGACCCGCGCGACCTTGAATGAATGAATGAATGAATGAAACTGACAGCATTACTACAACAGGTGTGACCACGAAACCGAATGAATGAACGAATGATAGTAAATAGAACCCACAGATTGATGCAACCATGAAACTAACTAAAAAAGCGATAGTAAATAAAAACCAGACAATCAAAACTGTTGGGAACTCAGACTTATATTTAAAAAACACAAGATGCCTTTTTCTAACTTTAAAATTCTAACCTTGAAAATAACAAGACTAACACCTTTTGAAATATGCAAGAACAAACCAGACAGACACTCTAATCTCATTAAAATAACCACTAACACTCAACAATAACCGCTAACATTTAGCACATGTTTAAACCATCTCCAATTTCCTGCAAAACAGTTTTTTACACAATATCTACTGCTTAACATTCAAGTGTTAGAATGTTAATGTATGCTTGAATTCTGTATAAAATGGCTGCTTTTGAGCTATGATTTTGGGATTCTATTTCGCCTTACATCATGCTGCTGTGAATGTACAATAAAAAGGCTATTTTTGCCACGCACTGATCCTGGTCGTCTGGTTCTTTGAACGCGATCTCACAGTAGGAATCAATTACTTTTTTCATTTCCATTTAATTGTGTCCATCTCCCTCCCACACAGCTTTTAATTTCCCCAATGTTTTCCTTAAATCATGCTATTCGAGCATAAGTTACTAATCAAAACATTTACTAGCCTCAACTTCTCAATGAAGATTTGGCTCAGCCCATGATTTCCCTTCCTTAGTGAAATTTAGCAAAGCAATGAACATTATTGTCTCAACAATATCAGAGAACTCCTGGTTATTAGCAATATTATAACTTTATAGAAAATGCACAGTTAACAGTTCAAAAGATTTTTAATCTGCAAGTTAGCAATGTAGTACCTTTTTGTGTATCACTTTCCAAAATGGCAATTTTGTAGATACTGAACTGAGTGAAGAAATTATCTGGGTCAATTTGTTCTGCACCTTTTATTGCCTCTTTTGCCTGGATACAGAACATTTGAGCAAGGTTCAATAATTTAAAACAGCTTGTCCATCCTCTGTTGAAAATTCCAATAAAAAGTAAGAACAAGTTTCTCACTATTATTTCAGTATTCCGAAGCATCACTGTTAATACAGTATCACTGGTAAGAGAAAAATGTTGCTGGTGTATTTTAAGATTCTTTTTTAATGAGCCTCAGCAGTTGTCTGGGCTTGTATTCACTACAGCTTAGAAGAATGTGAGGGGATCTATTGAAACGAATAAAATTACATTAAATCTAGACAGACGAGATGTAGGAAGGATGCTTCCCTTGGTGGAGGAGTCAAGAACTGAGTGTTACAGTCTTGGGATAGGGGGTAGGCCGTTTAGGACTGAGATGATGGAACGTTTCTTCGTTCAGAAGGTGGTCAACCGGTAGAATTTTCTAGCACAGAAGGCTTTGGAGGCCAGGTCACTGAATGTATTCAAGAAGGAGATTGATTTTTTTTAGATTGTAAACGCATGAAGTGATATGGAGAGAAAAAAGGAATATGGTGTTGAGATAGGATCAGCCATGATCATATTGAATGGTGGAGTAGACCCAAAGTGCCAAATGGACTACTTCTAATCCTAGATTCTAATTTTCTTAATTGCAGGTACATTGTATGCCAACATGGATGGAAATCTTCAACGTCAAGGATCTAACAAGGGCAACTAAACATACATTTTAAACAAATAGATTCTCTACAAATGGAAGAAGTGTGATGGAGAACTTTTTTGCTAAAATGCGGGTACATGTCCATAATGTAACATTTCCCACCCAGGTAATTAAAAATAGTTCAAGAAATGGTTGAACTTCCAAATTTCTATCAATTCAGGAACTGTCCTCGGGATTGGAAAATTACCAATCCCCTCCACTATGTAAAGAGGATCAGAAAGATAAGTTAGTAAATTATAAATCTAGTAACTTACTGTCAATTGTAATGAAGTTAGTAGAACCTGTTAGTACAGACATTGTGTCAGAAAAAAAATTAGAATCTAATTTTTAAGTCATCTGTAAATTTGAAATTGTCTTGATCGTTATATATATCAAAGTGAGAAGGAATCTTAACACTGACACCTGGGAAGCTCCATTGTTAAAGTTCCTCCAGTCTAAGAAACAACTCACTACACTTTCTACCGTCATTCAATCAATCAATCTCATACCATAGTTGGCATTGTCCCTTTTATTCTTTCAGCACAAACTTCAAACTGTTTTGTGGTACTTCATCAATCCCTTGCCAATGTGCACAACATCAATTGTACTACCCTCATCAACTCCGTTACTGATCAAAAAGCTCCAGTGAATTAGTTCTATTTAGTTTATGCCACCTCCTTCCATACCATTTATTTGGGTGTTTCTTACAGCTATCTAAAAATCTTGAATTATATAGCAGTGGCTGAAGATTCAATGAAGGTTTGACTTAACAACTTTGTATTTTTTAAAGAATTTTCCTGACTGGGAACCAGACGCCAAATCTCAGGTAAAACATTTAAAGGCACTGTCTGATATTACATTTAGAATTGTAGAAGTATCACCAGTCATCTACTGCTCCTCAGTTTTCTGCTGAGAACTGCTCATACAAACTGCAATTAAAATAATACATCTTTCTTCCAAAAGGCTGCGAATAATAGAATTTTGCTAAGGCATAATTGATAAGATTTTTGTTAGTTGAGACTATTAAGAAGTATAGAAGAAAAATTGGTAAATTAAGTTTAAGGACCAAGCAGTTGTCATTCTATTAGATCACAGAACAAAACCAGAGGGCTGAAGGAACCACTCATGTTCTGTTTGAATTGAATGCTGCATTTTAAACAATACATGTAAAGGTTCTTTTTCTCTACAATATAACAAGACCTTTGATACACTATCATTCCTTGCAATGCAACAAGATCTGTACATTCATATGGCACTGTTCTAACCATAGGAACTGAGAGACATTATCTTCCCCACTTACACTCATGTATATTGATTCTAACAATAACAGATGGTACCTTTTCCAGCTGATTTAGACGCAGGTAGCATGATGCTCTGTTTCTTTGCAGTCTAGCCAGATTCTGATCCAGTTGTCCATCAGAAAAGAAACTTAAAGAATAATTGTACCATTGGAGAGCCTCTGTATAATTTTGTACCTATAAAGGGCAAAAAGAATGGTGCAAAGAATGGGATTCCCACTCACTACAAATTAGCCTGATTCTTTAAAGTCAAGTTCTAGAGTTTGCACTCAAGTTATGCTGTTAACAAATCAGAATAAAGTAAAATAACCTGTTTGGGCAAAGGGCAGGAAATATTAGTATAAAGTCATTCAAGCACAGTGCAACAGAAATATCCTAGCAAAACATGTTCTCTACAAACAACCAGATAACTGTTCAATCTTGGAAGAAGTTTAATGATCTGACTGGTTGAAACAAAGTCAGAGGACTAAGCCACACCTTCCAATAATGTACACTGGCAACCAAATTTTCAATTTGTAACCACCTTCCTCTCACTTAGCTCAAATGCAGAAATGCTTCCCAATGTTCAAAGGTAGAAGTTAGGCTGATTACAGTGTTACATGTATGTGCCACATTCTTTAAAAAGGAGCAACCATGACCATACTGAATAGTGGAGCAAACCTGACAGACCACCTCAAGCCGCACCTCCATCTCCTACCGACCAACCTCATCCCGCCCCCTTGACCTGTCCGTCCTCCCTGGACTGACCTATCCCCTTCCTAACTCCCTACCTACACTCACCTTTACTGGCTCCATCCCCGCCTCTTCGACGTGTTTGTTTCCTCTCCGCCTATCCTCTCCTCTATCCCTCTTCTATCCGCCTCCCACTCTCTCCCTATTTATTTCGGAACCCCCTTCCCCTCCCCCTTTTCTGATGAAGGGTCTAGGCCCGAAACGTCAGCCTCTCTGCTCCTATGATGCTGCTTGGCCTGCTGTGTTCATCCAGCCCTGCACCTTGTTGTCTCGGATTCTCCAGCATCTGCAGTTCCTACTATCCCAGACCAAATGGCCTACTCTATTTCTATTTAAGTCCTGTGAAGTAATAAGTGTTTGGTTGATACAGACTATCATAGTCATGCTGTTAATAACTCAGTTTAACTGAATCCTCTGAATGCACTGATATGGCATTAACTGGAAATTGTGGTACATTTATCTGTACAATCCAGGCAAGGGTAACATTTCATGAGCACCATACATTGCTGTGGCCTCTAGGCTCTTGACAAAGGTTCAAATCTCACCATGGAGGAAGGTGAAATTTGAATTCATTAAAAAATCTGTAATAAAAAGCAAATCTAATGACAATCATGTAACCATGTAACAGAGAGTGGTGGTGGAGGGTTGTTTTTTTGGACTGCAAACCTGTGACTAGCAGTATTCCACAGGGATCTGTGCAGGGTCCAATTTTGCTTGTCATTTATATAAAAGATTTGAGAATATAGAAGGCAAGGTTAGTAAGTCTTCGGATGACATCAAGATTGGTGGTATAGTGGACAGTGAAGAAGGTTATCTAAGACTACAAAGTGATCTTGATCAAATTTTTGGGTCAATGGACTGAAGAGTGGCAAATGAAGTTAAATTTGGATAAATGCAAGGTATTGTATTTTGGCAAAACTAACAAGGGCAGGAATTATACAACTAAAAGTAGGGCATTGGGTAACGTTGTAGAACAGAGAGACCTAGGGGTTCATGTACATAATTTTTTGAAGTTTGCATCACATGTACGCAGAGTGGTTAAGAAGGTACTTAGCACACTTGCCTTCGTTGCTCAGACTTTTGAGTGCAGGAGTTGGGATGTTATGTTGAGGTGGTACAGGATGTTAGTTAGGCCTCTTCTGGAGTACTATGTCCAGTTCTGGTCACGCTGTTACAGAAAGGATATTATTAAGCTGGAGAGGGTTCAGAAGAGATTTAGCAGGATGTTGCCGGGAAAGGAGGGTTTGAGTTATAAGGGGAAGCTGGATAGACTGGAACATCTTTCACTGGAGGGTAGGAGGTTGAAGGGTGACCTTATAGAGATTTATAAAATCATGAGGGGTATGGATAAAGGTGAATGGCAGATGTCTTTTCCTGCGGGTGGAGAATTTCAAGATTAGAGGCCATATTTTTAAAGTGAGTGGGGGAAGACTTAAAAAAGATATGAGGCAATTTTTTTTTGCACAGAGTGGTTCATGTGTGGAATGAACTTCCACAGGAAGTAGTGGATGTGGGTACAGTTACAACATTTAAAAGACATTTAAGTAAGTATATGAATAAGAAATGTTTGGAGGGCTATGGGCCAACAGCAGGCAGGTGGGACTAATTTAGTTTGGGATTATGGTCAGCATAAACCAGTTGGACCAAAGGATGTGTTTCTACGCTGTATGACTCTATAACAGTTGTTTGTCATAAAACCCATCTGACTGAATAATGTCTTTTCTGCAAATGAAGTCCTGTCCTTACTTGATCTGATATATGTGACTCCAGAGGTGGATATTAAATGCTGGCCTAGCAGAGACACCTAAATCCATGAAATAAATTCAAAAACATCACAGAGTTTTGATGATCGGGTGACCAAAAAAAATGTAAGATAACATAAGAAAAGCATTGAAGAAATAATCAGTAGTGAAATTTCTTCTGAAAACAATTGTAGGATAAGAACTTTCAAAACATAACACTCAACCTATGTAACACATGAGGTAGATCAATTGATCATGCATTTTGAAGGGTTATCATTTTAATCCAGGGTTTACACCAGGGAAATTCAGTTTTGGAAAAAGGGATCCTGTTTAAAACACAGCACAGACTTTGATACCAAGAACAGAAGTGTGAGCTTTTAAAATACTTAAGTACTGCCAATCCCACCTAGTCTTTTTCAGGGTAGCAGGGTGACGGCTGGAGGTCTGCAAGATCAGTGTTAGGACCATAACTGTTCACAAGATATATTAATGATCTGAATAAAGGAACTGAAGGCATTGTTGCTAAGCTTGCAGATGACACAAATATAGGTGGAGGCAAAGGTAATGTTGTGGAGGCAGGAAGGCTGCAGAAAGATTTGAACTGGCTGTGAGATTGGGCAAAGAAGCAGCAGACTGAATACAATGTTGGAAAGTGGGGTTATGCCCTTTAGTAGGAAGAATAGAGCATAGACTATTTTCTCAATGGCGAAAGACTTTGGAAATCTGAAGCACAAAGGGACTTAACAGGCCTTGCTCAGGATTCTCTTGAGGTTGGCATGCAGGTTCAGTTGGCAGTTAGGAATGCAAATGCAACATTAGCACTCATTTCAAGAGGGTTAGAATACAAAAGCAGGGATGTACTGCTGACGCTGCATAAGGCTGTAGTCAGATCATGTTTAGAATTATGTAAGCAGTTTTGGGGCCCTGTATCTAAGGAATGATGTGCTCGTATGAAAGGGATCCAGAGGAGGTTTACAAAAATGATCCTGAGCATGAAGGGAATATCATATGAAGTGCAGCACAGGACTCTGGGTCTATAATCAATGCAGTTTAGAAGAATGAGGGATTTCTCAATGAAACTTACAGAATACTGAGAAGCCTGGAAAGAGTGGACATGGAGATGTTTCTACAAGTAGTTGTTACTAGAAGTTGAGGACACAGTCTCACAGCGAAGAGATGACCCTTTAGAACTGAGATGAGGAGGAATTTCTTCAGCCAGAGGATGAGGAATCTGTGGAACTCATTGCCACAGAAGGCTGTGGAGGCCAAATCATTGAGTGCATTTAAGACAGAGATAGACAGTGTCTTCATTAGTAAGGGGATCAAAGTTACAGGAAGAAGGAAGGAGAATGGGGTTGAGAAACATATCAGTCAAAATATGAAATCTGTATCCATTACATTATTCATCATCCTTCAGTGATTCATAAAGGTAAGCACAGACTTCGATTACAAATAAGTGAGTTCAGTTGTGCTCAGCAAGGGTGAACAACCATCACACAATCAGAAACACTTTACACTTTACCAGCACTTTTTAAAGAGTTTTATACTAGCCTCTTTTCCAGAAGTTTTGTTGGGCACAAATATGCATGTGGCAAGGGGCTATAACACAATAGGTACAATTCAATGATTCATGTTCATTTTGTAAAGTCCCATGTTAGAAGTGCAACAATGTAGAACCTATGGCTATCAACTTCATACCTGACAACAGGTGAAATCAATTTTTTTTGAACTATTCCAAAACTGATCTACAAACACGTAGGTAAAATATATGAAGCTTCAGGTTTTGCTCACAACAACAAGATAGGCCAAGAAGGAAGATCAAAATATTAGAGGCCAAACACAAAACTGTCTGAAAATTTTAATGTCAAGAAATTATGTAATTATAACTTTTTTTTATATCTGTTGTAGGTTTATGTAAGAACTCTGTGTAAAGCATGTAAGAACGGAGTATAAAGAGGCTACTGTAAGAACTGTCCTTTGGATTCCATCGCCACCTCGAACTGTGCTACCACGGATGCTGAATAAAAGAGGCTATTTTCACCACTCGCCGTTTTCAGTCGTTATTAGGACACGATCCCACAGACTACAAAAGTAGTCACAAACTATTTCCCAACTTAACTCACCAACAAGTTTTTACAGCAACTTGGAATAGGCTACAAAAACTGCTTTTGCCAGTGATGCCCATATCCCATGGGCAATTACATATATTAAAAAACCTTGAAATTAAATATGAACCTAAATGCCAATAAACAAAAAAGCAGCACAGTAACTTTCAGTGTAAGGGTATTAAAATATAATTTTGTATATGCAAGTGGGTTCCAGCCAAGCTATCCATAGACCCTATTGGTAGAGGTCAGATGAAACTTCTCTCCTGCTTCTACCACCAACACCCTCCATATATTTCAAATAGCCAATTGGGCCCTACCTCATACATATGCCCTTCTTCCAAATAGCCTTTTCCCACTCACAACAGCCTTTTGCCCCAGTCCCATCTTTTCAACTCATTTGTTCAGCAATCAATCATTCTTCCTAAAACCCTCTGCCCTTCTCATCAAACAGTCACTCTCTCTAACTCCCCTGTTCCAACACATGCACTTCACTCAGCCCCATCTTTCCCAAAAAGACATCCTACCGACTCACTTAGCAGACTACATTGCATCCCTACCAACCCCTGACTAGACTCAGGTTCTAATGCCCCCATCCCTCTCCCACCACAGATCCAGCCAAGCACCATGGAGGATCAAGATCCACTGTTCTCCCTTCCAAAGCCTACCAAACCCTGTGCCACCAGCAAGCAGACAGGAGCTAAGTGTGTGCATCTATTAACATAAGTGAGGCAGCTAATGTTTTCTGTTTTTATTCATTCACAGCATGTTGGTGTTGCTTGGCAGGCCAATATTTAGTGCCCATTTCTAATGAATCAAACACATTGCTTTGGGTGTGGACTTCTGTGTAGATCAAATCAGGTAAGCATGGCACATTACTGAAACATACAAAATACTGCAGATGCTAGAAATTTGAAATAATAAAAGAAATGTTGGAGAAACTCAAAAGAACTGGCAGCATCTATGGAGACAGAAACAGAATTAAAGTTGAGTCCAAACAGTCTTCTTCCGACTCAGGTGGGCAGGAAAATTATTCTTTTACGCTGTTGACAAAAGGGAGTGAACAGATGGTGAAGGGCCACATACCAAAATAATCGGGACAAATGGTTGTAAAGGTGGTTGAGATGTACAATAGGTGTGAATGCTTGGTTTGAATCAGAGAAAATAGGTCTGCCCTGCTGACAACAAAGGCAGAGGGGCAAAAACAAGATGCGCATATGAGGGGGAGAAGGGGGACAGTGTTGAATTCAATGTTGAGTCCTGAAGTTTTTTAAGTGCCTAAGTAGAAAATGAGGCGTTGTTCCTCCAGCTGCTACAGCAGCCCCCGGTCAATAATGTTGGCGTAGCAGCAAGATGCTTTATTGAAATGACTAGCAACCGGAAGGTAGGGTGCTCAGCAAAACAGTCATCACATCTGTGTTTGGTCTCATGAATGCAAAGGAGAGTGCATTTTGAGCAGTGAATACTGTAGAACCCTTGATGATTTTTCACTATTTTTATTCTTTTATCAATTTTAGTTTGGAGATGTGAACTAAGAACAGTGAACTGAAGGTGGCATTTAGACTGTGAGTAGAAAGTTCTGTGAAAGGAACAGACTAAACAAGCTTTGTTTGTTTATGAGGCAAGGCCTGGGAGTTAATTGCAGGTTCTACGTACTTTTCCACACCAACAAATAACAGATTGCAAATGCATAGCCATAAACCTAGGAACAGTTCTTGCAAGTCTGGGACAGACCCTACACTCAAGCAGACAGCAAATGTCGAATGGTAATTGGTACCTCATGGGGATACAGTCTGTCAGGGAGAGGCCAAACTTTGAACTGAATTTTGTACTCTGTTTCTGTGAGAGAGATTAGCTCTTGACGCTACAGCATGAAGGTTTGAAAGCTCCATGACTAGCCTCCCATTAACAGATACTGCAAGTTCAGAGATTAGAAAATAAATTGTGAATATCACTGACTTCTTCTAACTACACTGAAAAGGTGGTTGTGTTCAACATCTTCAGCAAATCAACCAAGAAACAAGCATCTATGCCTGTGGAACAATGCACTGTGAAAACCACTTAAGTGATCTGGCAAATTCTGTTATTTTCTTTTATTATCTCCATACAATCCCTACAGTGTGAAGCAGGCCATTTGGCCCATTGAGTCCACACTGACCCTTTGAACAGCAACCCACCTACAGCCACCCCACTACCCCTGCATTTCCTATGGCTAATCCTCCTAACCTACAACCCTGGACATTACAGGTGATTTATTGTGGCCAATCCACCTAATCTGCACATCTTTGGACTGTGGGAGGAAACCAGAATACCTGGAGGAAATCCATGCAGTCACAGGGAGAATTTGCAAACTCCACACAGACAGTCGCCCAAAGCTGGAATCAAATCCGCGTCCCTGGCACTGCAAGGCAGCAGTGCTAACTACTGAGCCACCCTGCCGCCCGATCTATTAATTATGTTTGCTTTTTTGGCTGTCATTTGTGTGACAGGGATGTGTGGGTTAGGTGCATTAGCCATGGGAAATACAGGGTTACAGGGACAGGGTAGGGGGATGGGTCTGGGTGGGCTGCTCTTTGGAGGATCGGTGTGGGCTCGTTGGGACAAATGGCCTGTTTCCACACTGTAGGAATTCTATAGAATTACTGAGGGTGGAAAGGAAGGCGCTAAGGGAAAGGTGAGGGAGTGATAAGAATGACAGAAGGGAAGACCGTGGCATTATGGGGGGAATGGTCTCTGCAGAATGCTGACAAGGAAAGTAACAATACATATGGTGGTCACATCATATTGGAAGCGGCAGTTATGGTGGATGATTATTCTTTGAATGTGGAGACTGGTGGGACAGAAAGTGAGGACAAAGGAAATCCTGTCATTATTCGTGGAAGGGTGAAGGTAGAAATGTGTGAAATGAGTCGGGCACAGCTGAGGGAGAATCCTCAGCTGAAGTAAAAGGGGAGCATGACAGAGACAAGCCTATGAAAGGTGACATCATCAGAACAAATGTGACAGAAAAGCTAGGAGAATGGAATGAAGTCCTTGCAAGAAGCAAGATGTGAAAGTAGTTAAGGTAACTGTGGGATTTAATTAGCATGTCGTGGAAATTGGTGATAGAAATAGTGAAGTCAAGGAAGGAAAAAGAATCAGAGATGGATCATGTGCAGGTGAGAGAGGATGGAAATTGGAAGTAAAACTGATTAATTTTTCAATTCTGGATAAGAGTAGGAAGCAGCATCAACTTTATTTGTACCACAGAAACAGTTGTGGTAGATCCTGAGGATTACAGCAAGCAATTTTCCACAGACCCCAAAATGAGACATGCTAACTGCAGTTTTGGAGACACGTTAAAAATCTGTCCAGCAGTGACAGAGCCCCTATCCCAATAAGTTGGCATGGAGGGAAAAGCAAAAGAACTCAACAGCATGACATGGTTGATAGTTAGTGCGGAAAAGTTATAGACTATTGAAAGCAAAGTCAAACTTGGGTAGCTTTCAACTGATGCTATATTTACCTCACAAACTCCAGCTACAGCTCTGCCAGACCATTTACATCCCCCTAGACACAGAACCCCAAACACATTCCCACTATCCCTTCCTTGATCGGACACCTTCTGTCTGCCACTAGACCCGACCCCCACTCCATCCCTTCCAAGCGGCCAAATCCAATACACCCGCATCCTGAGCCCATTCCCACTACACTGCCAGACCCACTTACTCCCATTCACTCCATCCTACATTAAATATTGCATCACTTACCTGACACCTTTACTACTTTTCACCCTTCCTCGATCCCACCTGGCATCCAACCACCTGGCAACCTACTCCCTAGTATCTAACTTCCTACCTACAGTCCACCTTACCCCCATATATGACTGGCATTATGTACCTAATATATTTAGTTTATATACACATACCACATATACAGCAGCTATCAAAGAGACTGTCTAGAACTTGCAATGTCAGAATCGAGGGCTGCAGCTGTGAAAAGCAGGCATGGCCCGACAGGGCTGCACTATGAAAGAGCTGTCAGACCGGAAGTGTAATTCCACATTTTTGAAGGAGTCCTAATTGGAATCTCTTCTCAGAAATGCAGAACTCCCATTTTTTGTAAAAAGGACGAGCAGAGTCTGTATGAGATTGACCCTCCTTTGAAAATCTGATTCATGATCACCATTAGGCCCCCATTTTATTCCAGATTTCATTTTGAATTCAAATTTCACCATTTGTCATAACAGTATTCAAACCATACCCCAGGACATTAGCCTGGGGTTGTGCTAGTCCAGCAACATACTAAGCCACCATCTCTTTGATACAAGGTTGAATGGGCAGCATCACCGGGTCCTGTTCGTGGCCTTGTTACCGATGGTCAGATTTCTGGATTTAGATTCTCTCTTTCCAGTATGGCCACTTTAGAGGTGGCAGCAGTCAAAGGTTATATATAGGGGTAAGGTGGGCTGTAGGTCGGAAGTTAGGCTCCAGGGAGTAGATTGCCAAGTGGTTGGATACCAAGTGGGAACAAGGTTGGGTGAATTATACAAAAATCAGAATTCTGGCAAATTATAAAAATCTCCTCATATGCTCAGTTAAGTTGCTTCTGTGGCTAATTTAGCTAAATTCAGCATAAAAGAGTAAAGAATTTTACATTGTATTACTTTACACTAGATTAAAAACATCATATCTCACCAACATCTGACTCATTTGGGTGCAAGGGTGTTAATTAGAAGATTTTATAAAATTTGAGTATCATTTTTACTTTAGTTTTCTAAGAAACTAGCACACAATGCTATGCCACGATATAACTAGGAAATCATTCATATTTTTTAATAGTAATCTTCAATCTTTTAAAAACAGGATGTTCACAGGTCATGGAATGACATTGGATTTGAATTTTGTTTATATGTTAAAACAATTTTCAGTGGAATGAAATCGACTGCACCTAGTTACCATTCTAATATAGTGAAGGATATATTTAACAGCAAGCATTAAAAATTAGATTTTAAACTTGTCAAATCATGCTGATTCATTGCATTGCAGATTTTGCATTCTTCTGATATGCAAACAGGTCTAGACAAAAATGCAAGCTTTTAAAAATCAAATGAGTACAATTTACAGCGTTTGAAGTGAAAATTCTACTCTCTGTACTACAAGAGCTGAATGAAGAGAGCACGATATAGAGTATCAAATTAAAGTTTTAAGGAGGACAAGTTAAATTGATTTCAACAGTAAACTCCGTTTTCAGTAGCAAATAATCCCACTTGAGGAAAGATAGCAGCAAAGGGGAAATAACTTCCAGATAAAGGTGACTTAAGTGCATAATGCATGACAGAGCTTTGAGTTTTGCAAAATTTTATTAGCTATGTCTCACCTCAAAATTCTTGGTTGCTCTTTCCCAGAGAACAATGTGGAATTGAGTCAGAATATCTGAAGCAAGTCGTTTCCCTGTGTAATGACCTAAAGATAGCAATCAGAAGAAACTGACCACACAGAAAATAAATGCAGGTAACAACTGTGGAACAAAAACTTTGAAAGATATTACATTAATATTCAATATGAATGATACATATACCCCTCAGCCCTCATACTGTTTGTCATAAAGGTAATTCTCATGAACTTAATCCCCAGCAAATCAGCCAATGACCCACCACTTTTGCAGTACTTTTAGATCGTCAACTTTAGTTGGGGTAATATCAACTGAAGTTTCAAAAGATCTTAAAATCAGGCTGAGCACAAGGAAGTGTAGAAAAGAATGAGAAATAAAGAGTGGCATTTCAATTATTGTTTCATTCCAGGGGCTGACAAGGTTCGCCACAGGGGAAAAAAGAATAATTCCAAACCAACCAATCATTTAATGAGTAAGTAATAGAAAAATGTGCAGTCAAACGCACAGAGCAGAAGAGGTAACCAATAAGAAACCTTTTTGGTTAAGAAGCACAACTAAAGAGAGAAAATGATGATGTTCCAATTCCTGATCACCAGGGAAGAGGGTGGAGACCAGCTTGAGCTAAGGAGCTTGGGCACATCAGGCTTACTCGCTCACCAACACCACTCCCCAGTCACTCACTCACCAACCAGTCATACACTCAGTCACTCACCTACCAGTTTCCATACACTTATTCAATTGTCCACTCATCGTCCAATCACTCACTAAGCCAGCCACCAGTTACTTGATCACGCATCCATCCAGCCCTCCAATAACTCATCTACTTCTCCTGCTATTCACTCACTGACCAACACAACTAATTCCCCAGTTACTCATTCACTCGCTTACTCACTCACCCACTCACACACACATGCCTTCAACTACTCAGTCACTCAACCTAACTTCCTGATCACTCATCCATCCAACCGTGGCTGTACTCACTCACCTACCCAAGTCTTGAGTCACTTACTCACTCAGCTAAGTGACAACCAGTCCAAACAATCACTCAACTACCTCTCAGTCACTCATTCAGCCATCTGCCCACTCAATCAGTATGCACCTTAATTCACTCAAGCAGTCAGGACAAAGAAGTTTGCTGATTAATACTGCAAGGAGCAATTCAAATATCTACAAATGATAGCACATCCTGGAATCCCCAATTAGTCAAGTAGAACATTCTGACTGAATGGCCAGTCAGGAGCACTGAAAGGCTAACCAATCAGGGTAGTGAAAAGATGGTTCAGTGCCAACAGCATGGTGAAGAAAACAGATCTCTGGGAAAGAAAAATGCATTGATGGCCTGCCTGGTACTTCCCCAACTTCCCAATGGCCTGTCTCTTACTCCACTAACCCTCCTACACCATGGGCCAATGTTCACTCCACTCTGTTTTCCTCCCCATCTATCCCTTGATCATCCAACTCTCACACCTCTTCTCCTCAAATCAGAGTCACCTTGAAAACATGTCTTATGGACTCACTGCTGTAGATCTAGGCATTAATTAATTAAACCAATTACATTGGCAAGCAGCACAATCTCAAACAGAATACTTCCCTCATTTAATGACAGTAAACCTATTAGCAACACAACTGGGAGAAAATCAGCCTTTGAATGCAAGAGCAGCTTCTTGCAAAATCATCTAGTCACATTTAACTGCACTACGAACAATTGCCTTGCAAGCCACTTGGATGCCTTGGCAGGCTGTATTGTGGTTTGTGCACCACTTGGTCCACAAGCAAGATCTAGAAGAACAATGCAATCAAGCAAATGGGAGCACCATCATCTGTAATTTCCTCTCTAAACATTTACCATCGTGTCTTTGAAATGAATCACTATTCTTTCACTGAAACTCCTTCCCTAACAGGTGCACCAACAGCAATTTAAGTAGCTGGCTCATCATCACATTTGAGGGGCAATTATGGATGTATAACAGAAACAGCTCTTGCCAGTGATGTCCACTTCCCATTAAATATTTTGAAAATATACTTCCTCACAGAGAGATTAATCAATATATCAAACAAATTGAAGATAGGAGTAGAACCAAAATCTCTGGAAATTTTGACAAATCTAAATGTGTGATGGGGGATAAGGACTTAGATGAGATCTTTTTGTCATTTTTTATTGCACTTGAATGGATGAGCCAAATGATCTATCTGGAATCTTGAAAATCTTCCTAACCTAATTTTGTACTGTTCCCATTCTTTTAATTTTTGGGACTTCCTGCACTAAATGGAAGGAATTTAATGTTACGGGTGGTGGACTGGAGTGGATGGCATTGTTGCTCAGAAGTGGAGTCTGATGGACGGTGCACAAGAACTGATGTCATTTTAAACAGTGGTCAAACATCTCTGGAAAGCTTCCTGCGATTGCACAGGGGTAATTTTTTCACACGGAGGGTGATGCATGTATGGGACAAGCCTAATCTAACTTAATCTAGTCCCATTTGCAAGCATTTGGCCCATATCGCTCTAAACCCTTCCTTTTCATGCATTCTTCCAGATGCCTTTTAAATTTTGTAATTGCAACAGCCTCCACCTCTTCCTCTGGCGGTTCATTCCATACACGCACCACTCGCCACGTGAAAAAAAAGTGCCGCTCAGGTCTCTTTTAAATCTTTCTCCTCGTGCCTTAACCATATGCCCTCTAGTTTTGGACTCCTCTACCTTGGCTATTCACTCTATCCATACCCCTCATGATTTTATAAACCTCTATAAGCTCTCAGCCTCTGACACTCCAGGGAAAATAGCCCCAACCTATTCACCCTCTCTCTATACTCAAACCTTCAAACCCTGGCAACATCCTTGTAAATCTTTTCTGCACTCTTTCAAGTTTAACAACATCCTTTCTATAGCAGGGAGACCAGAATTGAACACTGTATTCCAAAAGTGGCCTAACCAATGTCCTGTATAGCTGCAACAGGACATCCCGACTCCTATTCTCAAATGCCTTCTTCACTCCCCTGTCTACCTGCTACTCCACTTTCAAGATACTATGAACCTGCACCCTTAGATCTCTTCATTCAGCAATACTCCCGAGGACCCTACCACAAGGTGTTTAAGTCCTGTCCTGATTACTCCAAACTGCAACACCTCACATTTATTCATATTAAGCTCCATCTGCCACTCCTTGGCCCATCAGCCCGTCTGATCAAGGTTCCATTATACTCTGAGGTCACCATCTTCAGTGTCCACTACACCACCAGTTTTGGTGTCATCTGCAAACTTACTAACTATTCCTCCTATATTCACATTAAATCATTTATAGAATTGACAAAAAGCAGTGGAAACCCAGCACCGATCCTTGTGGCACACTGCTGGTCAAAGTCCAATCCGGAAAACAGCCCTCCACCACAATCCTCTGTCTCAAACTTTCAAGCCAATTTTCTATCGCAATGGCTAGTTCTCCCTGCATTCCATGTGATCTAAACTTGCAAAACAGCCTACCACCGAACCTTATCGAACGCCTTGCTGAAGTCCATATAGTCAATGTCCACGCTCTGCCTTCATCAATCCTCTTCATTACTTCTTCAAAAAGTCTCAATTAAGTCAGTGAGACATGGTTTCCCATGTAGAAAATCAAGTTGCTTAACCCGAATCAGGTCTTGCCTTTCAAAATACATGTAAATCCTGCCCCTCAGAATCCCCTTCAACAACTTACCTACCACTGACGTCAGACTCACCAATCCATAGTTCCCTGCCTTTTCATTACCATCATTTCAAAATAGTAGCACATTAGCCATCCTCCAGGCTTCCAGCACCTCACCCGTGACTATTGATGATGCAAATATTTCAACAAGGGGCCCAGCAATCACTGCCCAACATTCCCACGAAGTTCTAGGATACACCTGATCAAGTCCTGGGGATTTACCCACCTTTATGCATTTTAAGACATCCAAAATCACCTCTGCTGTAACATGGACACTTGTGAAGATATCATTATTTATTTCTGCAAGTTCTCTAGCTTCCATATCCTTCTCCACAGTAAATACTGACATGAAATATTCATTTAGTATCTTACCCATCTCCTGCGGTTCCACACATAGGCGGCTCTGTTGATCTTTAAGGGGCCCTATCTCTCCCTAGTTACTATTTTGCCCTTAATATATTTGTAGAATCTCTTTGGATTCTCCCTCACCCCAAAGTTATCTCATGTTCCCTTTTGGCCCTCCAGTACACAGCTACTGCCCTTGTACTCCTGAGGGATTCACTTGATCCCAGCTGTCTTTACCTGTCATATGTCTCCTTCTTTTTCTTGATCAGAACCTCAGTTTCCCTCATCATCCAGCATTTCTCACACCTACTAGCCTTGCTCTTCACACTAACAGGAACATACTGCCTCTGGACTCTCATTATCTCATTTTTGAAGGTGGTGGAAGCAGATACAATTACCACATTTAAAAGGCATCTTAATGATTATATGAATAGGAAGGGTTTAGACGGATATGGAACAAATGCTGACAAATGGGATTGAAGAGTCTGTTTCCATGCTATATGACTCTATGACTAATGAAATATTGGAAATTTCGGAGCTTGACGCTTTACTGAATAAAATATAACCTTGTCACCGAAGTCTCCTGGAAAATAAGGGGATAATAAATCAACACTGGACTGGAATTTGCCTGGTTTTGTGATATTACATTATAAAATCCTATAAATGGGACCAATTTTGTCAGTCTGAACATTAGCCCAAGTGTTCTTGATGGTAACCAGGCATCTGAGCAATGAATAACAAAACCAAGTATCACCATAAAATAATTTCCTAATCCACTTCACCATCCCCTACCTGCTATAATGTCTTCAATCTTCTGCTTGGCAAGTACATCCTTTCCTCTTTGTAGCAGCTGCATAAGGTGCATCAACAAAATCTTCCCAATATCATGACTGGTTTCAAACTGCTTGGACAAAGTTGTCAAAAATTCAAAGGATAGTCCATCCCTGTTGAAACGCCATGACGTTAATGTTTTCAGCAATATGTACTCTTTATTGTTATCACAATCCAATACACAATATTATGTAAGTATTAGACTTTTCCTAATTGACCTGTTCAGAGATGTTACGATACAACTCTGGGGCAAGTGAGACTTGAACCCAGGTCTCCTGGCTCAGATGTAAGGACCCTAACATGACAACACAAGAGCCCACTTACTCTCATTTACAGATCTTTTCACACGCCAGTCCAAACTGTTTCCCATTTATAGATATTTTCTAACCAACCTGTTCAGAGATGTTATTACACGCCTCTGGAGCAGGTGGGGCTTACACTACCACTGCACTACAAAAGGACCACTCTGCTTTCCCATTGTATCTACAGTTGATTGATTGATTAATTAATTAATTAATTGCATTCGCATGCCTAATTCCTTCCTAGATTAACAACTTGAGTGTTAATGTTTCTAATCATTTATCTGTATTCAATTCCCTACTGAGTCTCTTCCACTATCCATGATGGGTCAGGTATTGCGATGGTTTGGCAAGTCAACCTGAATATGTTCTCTGTTTCACTGGTGATGGCACAGTATTTTGCCACCCCACAGTGGGACATTTGAATCCATTAACAGTGTAGTCTGGTTGGAATCCTGGTTATAAGCCAAGGTCTTAGAGGTTTTTCTAGCGTGGGAACTAGTGCTAATCTGTTTATCTTGAAAACATCATAGTCTATTTCTACATGGTAGGATCAACAGCAAATGGTGCAACCCAAAATCTGGCCTTTATGATTCAGAGCATGGATCCATACTGACTTTTCTGCCAGGAGTTCCAGGCAATCCTATGTTTTGCGATGAACATTGTAGATTGTGGACTGGTACACACAATAACAGTCTTCCTCTTCTTCTCCTCCCCCTGTCTTGAGGCACACTTGAAGGCTATGTGGGAGAGGCTGAAATGGAGTGCATTGTTTATGTTCCAACAGATGTTCTGATGAAGCTAGGTCATTATGTAGTGCGGCAAAGAGATAGCTAAGTAAGGCTACGTTAACATTATTCTTTCTCAACAAAGACGTCATAACTCAGACATCTTTCTTGTCCTCCCTCATCAGCCACTGGGTATCTGGATGCATTAGTGATGTGAGTAAAGCCATAGATCTTTGCAAAGCACTTAAAGCAGTTGTTCATGAACTGTAGTCAATTATCCAAAATGGATTAGAATGAGTTTTCGCGAAAGATCACTGTGATTTATAACCACAGCTGAGGTTGACTATGCAAATGTTCGACCTTCATCCATGATGGGTAATAATCAACTGCAATCAGAAATCTCTTCATCCCTGATTGCAAAAAGACCAATTCACAGTCTGGATTGGAATGAAAACACTATCAGCATTTATATATGGTCTTGAATATGATTGCAACAGGTAATGAAATAAAAAGCCTTTCTTCTAAGGCTTTAGAGGTCTACGGCCATCAAACCAGACTTCAGGCTCTGGACTGACATTCAGCGCCATACAAATGCTCATGGTGTAAGTGCAAGACCCTTGGCGAAATTTCTCTTTCATTGTAGATCAACAAAACAGTCACAGTGCTAAGGTATGGACTTTGTTCCAAGTACTGTTTGAAAATACAACCATCAAGACCATAGAGATAGTAAGAACTGCCGATGCTGGAGAATCTGAGATAACAAGGTGTAGAGCTGGATGAAC